ACCATATGTACAGCCCGTATGACTGTCTGGGGGCCCGTACGTACGACCGTACGACCGTTCATACTCCCTGTATTTGTACGGGGGGACACCTAGATCCCTCCCCCCTTCCCTTTCTCTTCTACCCCTTCTCCTACACTCTCTCATGTCTTCTACTTCCCCCTTCGCAACTATAAAATTCGCAAGCGCATTTGGAAAACTCTCTCTCTCAACCCATCTGCCAGCTTCGGGGAAGTAGTGGCTAGATGATGTGATGATCGTTGAGTCCGAAAGTCCTGACGAGATGACTGTAGTTTACGAGGCTGCCCCCTGGATGACAACGACGAACTACGAGATCTGGACGAGTCGGCGTAGAGACTAAGTGGGTGGGGTGACGATCACTGTGAAACGAAGGTTGGTACGTATCGGTCGGGATCACTAATGTCCGAGTAAGGAAGGAGTGTGTTGACGAGTGCTTGCATGGTATGAGAGCAGAAGGCTTGCCGCCTTGATTTCTCGTTCTTTTTCATCCTATTTTGCTAAGTTCACGGCAAGACGCCGATCTCCTTCGGATCTCCTTGCATGCCTATATATTGGTATCTGCTCTTTTGGTCTTGACCTTGTATGTCTGTGTCTCGGTTACCTCGGTGTCTATCTTTTTTGGCCAAGTGACAACTTCGTCAATACTCTCTCTCTCTCTATGACTGATTGGATGATGTGGCAACCTCCTCATTTCTGTCTGCATCTGAGTCACCACCCCGCTTGCCTCTTTTAGTTCGATCGGATCTAGCAGGGACAAGCACTATCGAACTTAAGAGGCTAAGGAGGTCACGCAACGGTTACCTTGTTTCTCTCTCTCCCTTCCTTTTTGTATGATGTATGATGTGAATTTTGGTATGATTGACACGACGATGATCTTCTGCTTCTACCTCCTTCCTTTTGACGGTCAAAGTTTTCGCTGAGCAAACTCAGTCGAGTGTAAAAGAGTTGAAGCATAAACATTTTTCTATATGATTGATCTGTTGTTCTGATGTCTTGAATGAAATGTGATTTCCCTCTTATTTTTCTTTTTACATAGGATTTTTTTTTTTTCTTAACAAATGCTCTAGTCTATACGTGGGGAGCATCATGTGCTGAGGATTAACTCAGCTCTTGTCTCCTTTCTTCCCTCAAATGAATGCTTGCAGAATGATGGATTGAGTAGATGAAAACTAACAATCTTATGTCATGTGGACTGACTATACAGATTTGACTGGGCACCGACCTGTCGTTCCCCCACAATGCCCCTTCTCGTACAACGCGGAAAGGCCACGTGTATACGAGTGGGACGTGCGAGAAGCGGTCGCAAAGATCAGAGGATGCGGGTGCTGGGTTTGTGATTGTCGATACTCATTTTATGCCTTATTCTTTGTAATTGCGCTTCAACGAATTCATTGTCATCCCTTGGACGACAGTGACACCCGATTGGCCTGGCACTCTCTGCAGCGATTGCCGCGACACAGAGCGTTACCGGGAAAAGAGATTCCACTACTGGACACGTGGCGAGGACGAGTTCAAAGAAAGATCAACTAGACTGCGACCTTCCACATCGGATTCTGAACTCTATGGCGAGCGACGTCGGGATGTAATTTGAAAACGCGATCCCACGTGCGTACCCCCGCCTATCCATTCGAAAAGTCGTCCAGTAGCCCGCATGGAAGTTCAAAGATACTTTTTGGATTAGATGGATGTTGATAACCGCGTGTGCCCGCCTTTCCCACGCGTCGATGGCCATTTCTCGCTAAAACTGGGACCACACGGGAGATTTCAGTTCTGTTTGTGTCTCCACACTCAATTTTCCAAAAATCCTTGGCAGACCCCATTTTGTTGTCCTCTCAAGGCCTTTTCCCGGATTTTAGACACGCAGATCGGAAGACAATGCAGAACGTCACGGGGGACTACCGGCTCAACTACAACGATTGGACTGCAGTAGATTCCAACTTTCCACTGAAACCATAACTGCTCACAAAGCAAAGTTACTGAGCCGGGGTATTTTTCTGAGCCAGAGGAATCAACACAGCATGAGGCGCTCCGGGTGGGGGACCTGTGGGACACAGAGGAGGGGGAGTGGAAAAGCGCAGATAGGATGAGGCAATGCCTGCGGCACTGCCATCATACGGAAGAGGCTTTGGGGGAACTAATCCAAAGCGTCCCGCTGGCATGGTTCTCTATTCTACAAAGGCGCCAGGTCTTGAAGGAAGGAGACTGGGTGGGACTTCCTAGGAACCCACGCTCGGTTGGGATGGTGCATATGGTGGGTGGTAACGAGGTGCTGGTCAAGAGATATATGTTGGCGAGGGAGGACATCCTGATGGGGAGTAGGCAGCCCTTTTCCTGGGTCCGCAAGGCTGAGGTATGTCGTATTAGGGTCGTACAGATCGGATGGGAACAGAGGGCTTTCCGACCGATGACGTTAATAGCGGACCTGCCCATTGACCCCCGAGAATGGCAGTGGAACTGGGGGGGGGGGGGGGGGGGAGGAGGGCAAGGACTGCACAATGGCCTTTGAATCTTGTTGACATGAAGGTCAAAACGGCGTACCGTATGCCGAGACCCAAAAAAGAGTGCGGGACACGATCTGTGACAGGTGGCAACGCCATCTCAACATTGATCGGAGTACCCTACGTCCCATTTAATGGTTTCGCAAAGCCAAATTGTGGCTGGCCAAGATCTCTTCGCTACAGTGGCAGGTGGCCCACCGATGCCTTCCGACTAACGACTGGCTGATCACACCAGGCTGGAGCAGCAGGGACGGCCGCTGCCTTGGTGCACGAAATGTCTGCGGAGCTACCCACCGCGAAAGAGGAGTGAAACAATTGAGCACCTTTTTCTGCAGTGCCCCTCGTCAGTGCTACTGAGGCGATGGTGGGACAGGATATGGCGGCAGATGGTCCCTGGTACCGGCTGGCCATGGGACTGGAGGGCGATCCTAACGGGCCACTGGCCACAGTGACCGGCCGACCCACTGACGAGAAACCTCTTCCTGGTGGGCAGGCAAACTATTTTGTGGGCAATATCATGGGCACACGGGTGGAGGAGGGGGAGGTAACAGAGGTGGTTAGGCAACTAGTACAAGCAGAGATTACTAACCAGCGACAGACAGCCAGACAGCGAATGAGCTTTGTGCATACCAGGAAGGACATTGCTAAAATCATCACACGCTTCTGCGAAGAATGGTTGGGGGGAAGAATGGGGGGATGGATGGCGGACGTATCTTGGTCAGGGGATAACCCCCATGGAGAGGGAGGGGAGGCAGGGCGAGAAATGCCCAGAGACTACAAGATCTCCTTTCGGGAATGGACTGCGATAGATCCTGGCATCCGCCTAAGACTGGCGATAGACTTCCCGGACCCTTGGTCAGGGGATAACCCCCAAGGAGAGGGAGGGGAGGCAGGAGGAGAAATGCCCAGAGACTACAAGCTCTCCTTTCGGGAATGGACTGCGATAGATCCTGACATCCCCCTAAGACCGGCGATAGACTTCCCGGACCCTTCAACCCCCCCCCCCACCCGTTATCACTTGTGGAAGCGCCTTCTAACTGAGCCGCTTCTCAGCACGCGACGCCTTCAAGAGGTTAAGCCTTCTCCAACAATAGTTTTCTCTCAGCACACGATTGCACGAGGACAGCATGAGGTTAGCATGAGGCTGGCAGGGCAAGGAGACCCCACCGGTGTCCCTCGGTGGCTCTCCTTCCGAAAACTGGCCAGGCCACGGTTTTAGGAAAGGGAGGAAGAGCTGTTATGGGAGGCCAGAACCGGTTTCCAGCATACTGTCATGTCCTGATGGTTTCATGTCAGAAATGATGTACATTTCGTAAGGGACGCCGGGCCTGGTTCCCAGCACGCGCTGCTCCCCACGAATAGATCGGAGCAATGGTTAAAAAAAAAAAGAAAAAAAAGAGAGCATCATGAGGCAATCCCCCCCCATCTGAACCTTAATATTCACCCAGCGAGCCTATATTTCTTGAAAAGCTCATTTGTGAGGCCACATTTTAGAGCCACTTCTCAATAATCGGACACTCTAGCTCACACACACTGTCACTATATGGTCCCCTTCATCATATAATCCCAATCAAAGGGCAAACAGGACGAGCTGCCGCCGTGGGTGCTTCAACCCTCTAGGGGCAATCATTATCCTAGAAGCCCCGTGAAAAGACCATGAAGCCTGTCCTATTTATCCTTGTCCGGCACCTTCGGCATGCCACCGCAGGCACTGTCTAATGGGACAGGCCAAAGTCTAGGTTTCCTTTAGTTCCCATCCCTTTTTTTTTTGGTCCCCTTTTTTAAAACCCGAGGCTAGTGATAACTATGGGCAGTGATATGAGCATCTCCTTGCAATAGCCCCACTGGGAAGATCAATTCTAGTGGTGGGGAGCGTCGCCTGCTGAGAATCGGGTCCAGGGTCCCTTTTGCAAATAATCTCATCATGAACCACCTGGAGTGATATCTATCATACTGATTTCGCTGCAGCATTGATTGCCCTGAGTGTGCAGGGAGTGCTCAGGGAGTGCCAGGGATTGCTCAGGGGATGAAACCACCAGCTCGCATTTCCCAGCCAACGAATAAAATATGTGGCTTGCATATAGTCGCAACTTTCGGGGCTCAGCCTCTGGAGCACGCACTGCCAGGCCATTTCCTGCCCCAGAGAAAAGTGCCTCGGAAGTACTGCTCGGCTAGGGGCTGCCTCTTCAGCCTCATCCTCACAACATTCTTGTCTTAGAGTTCCACTGATCAGGCATCAGTTCTTGAGTCTCGATCACCACTCTGGTGAGTCCTTCAAATTCAACCACTGAAATCCGGGTCTGCCCCGCCTTCTACTGGCTTGCCTACCCTCATTTGTGACTTCTCCATACTTTGTTGGGGAAAAACAAGAACTAAAAAAAAGCTTGATTGCTGGTATGAGAGCTCGGATGGCTTAGTTTCATGAACTTATTTTATTCACAATTGCCATAATTGCTTGTGATCTTTTTTTGACCGTTAAGAAAACTTTAAAAAGCCAATCACGGTGAGCGAGCGGGAAGCTGGACCAGGTTTCCAACATCAGCCGAAGATTGGTAGTGGGCCCAGTCTGGGTAGAATTGTGAGGTTCCCGACTTCCGTTCAATTTCTGTTAATGCCATCATACAGCTCTCCAAAAAAAAACAAAAAAAGATAGAATGGCTTAGGGTTTAGGGCCTGGGGCGTAGGTTTGGGTTTAGGGCTCACAGCTTAGGGGTTGTTTAGGGTTTTGGGTTTTTTAGGGTTTAGGGTTCACATTTAGGGTTTTGGTGGCATCTTGTCTGGCTCGGCCACCAACGAAGGTCCTATGACGCGAGGGAAAGGTGGATAGCAATTCTGACAGCAGTCTGCGGTTTCACCAGAGCCATAATGAGGCATGTTTTGCTCCATCTCTCTTCAGCAACACGACTGCCATTCTCACAGCGGGACTGTTTGACTACCGTCTTCAGCCGAATAGAATGCCTGGTCATTATCACTGCATGCGGACTGAAAGTTGGGCCAAATGCAGCTATAATGACCGGGCGTTCTATTTGGGTGAAGATGGTAGTTCCTAGAGTTCATTCCAGGACGGGGTCATAGTTGAAGTCATATGCATCTTCGTTTTTTCTTTTTCTTTTTTTTTAAAGTCATATACATCTGTTCCTTCAGGACATCCGTTAAACCACCTGTACGTGGCCCAGCTATCGATGCCGAGCCTGGAATGCACCTGCGCGCCGATTTTTGCCGAAGCGCTGGAGTACTGTTTCGTTTTGTTTTGGCTGGCGCTTCCAGCCATTGTGGTGCGGTACCCCGAAGCCCTAAAGGCGCGGCGCGTTAACGGGGAAGCGCCGCGGCTGATAGCTGGGCCAAGTACTGGTGGTTTAAAATTGGAAAGATACAGAGAAGATTAGCATGGCCCCTGCACAAGGATGAGACACATAAATCGAGAAATGGTCCAAATTATAATAAAAAAAAGTCACATCCAGGGAACAAACTATGCTATATGGGATAGTGCTGCTAGCATTAGTATGACTATTTGGCGGCCTCGATTGGGCTGAAGTGCAATACCACACATTCCTGAAGATTCCCCCGAGCGAGCGAATGAAACCGGTAGAGGGATTTGCTCTGTCGATTGTAGAGGGAGAACTGGCTATGGTGACAGGCCCCAGTGTTGCGTACGATGTGAGAGATCGCAGTCTTGTATGACGGTTGAACTCAAGAGAGCTATATTTTCCTCCATGTTTGTCAGGCTGGTCTTTTTGAGTTTGTTCTACAAGTCTGTGGTGACTTCTAAGTGTGCATGACACAAGGGCTGGTCACCGTGTCTCCCGACGGACTGTTGCCGCAGTCTGCCTCTCTTTCTATTCTGGCTTATGTCTTAAAAAAAATTGTATATGGGACGCAGGACCCGTTTTCCAGCAGGTGCAGCTTCCCACCAATAGACTGGAGCTTTTATTAAAAAAAAAAGAAAAAAAGAAAGTCCTACTCTGAGGAGTCCCTTGGTTACAGATAACAGTAACACATGATGGGAAGACTGCACGTGTTCCAACGGTTGTCTATTCCCGATCAGGGGCATGGTTCCACTAGTTGGAACTAAGAGTTTGGGACGACCAATTTTGCAAATGAATGGTCAGAAATGCACGCAGACCCTAAATTGTCGAACCTAACTATTTTTGTATCTGAACGAAGTGAACCAGTTCCCGCCCTAGCTGATACATTATAAACATGGCCTCCTTGTACTATACTTCCCGGAAGTTTCTGTGTCGGGGTTTGAGTCTATCCTCATGCGATTCCCTCAAAACTTTTGTTTGCTGAAGGGGGGAAAAAGGAAATCCTTCTTTTTCAAAAGGTTACTTTTGGGTAGGGGAGTGCGGAAAGGCAATTAAACCTAAGACCTTGGTTCCATTATCCCAGGGTTTTTTTTTTTTTTTTTTTTTTTCTCTTTTTTTTTCCGATCTCTTAATATTTGGCAACCCCTGTCCCGCCGACCCCTGCCAACTATTCCACCAGTATTTATCTTCTTTTTTCTTTCCTTTTATCGCCATAGGTATTTATCAACGTCTGTGAGTCAGAAAAGGTGGAGAAGGCGAAAGCTGAACCACGACAAGATGGAAGTGGAACTGAGTGGTCCATCCCTTACAGTCTTGGCCACCCAACGACAGAAAAGGATAAAGGTATGTTCCGTGAGGATGTAACTTCTATTTTCTAACTGGATTGAGAATTATCCGGTGAATTCTAGGCTGAAAGGGAGAAAAGGGCAAGAAACAACTTGAAAGGGGTTACTATAGACTGTTTCATCGAAGTTTCACCGAATCATTAGGAGGCTGAACCCTACATATCTATGACGATATACTTCCATCTGTAGATATGTATGTATATGTGTGTATATGTATGTATGTATGTATATATGTACGCATTATATATATGTGTGTACATATATATCGTCAAACATGTATATATCATATGTGTAACATGTATATACATTATGTATGTATATCGTCACACAGAACTGCCCGGTATACCATAGGCAGAGAGGGAGAAGAGGACAACAAACGAGGGGCTGTGACAAACTGGTTCGTCAGAGTTTCACCGACTCATCAGGAGGCTAAATATATACAAATACATGTGATACCTCCACAAACGTATTGTAAAATATACCTACAAACTGATTGATCCTAGACGAGGTGTTCAGGACAGATCAGGGTTGTCATGCGGGGATCCCCTCCCGCAAACCAGGGTCCCCGCCCCCGCCTCCAGATCCCTGGCCTGGGGTTGACGACCCTCGAATCGGGGACTGGCGACACCCGGCCCCCATCAGCCCCGCCCCCGCCCCCCATCACCGCTCCCTGCCCCTGCCCCCGGACCC